GTTGGTTCTCAAAACGCGATCTTGGGGGGCCTGTGGCTTCCGTATTTGGCTGTTGTATATTTCCGTGACGAACTGAATTTACGCTTGAGAATTCTTGTTGCTCGACTTGGCTGGCTTGTTTTTCGCTTAGTTCGATGGCTCTGCCGGTCTTCATCAGGTTCGGTAGATCAAGATTGTCACGAAGGGCTCGTCGGCGTAAAGAGTTGGACGTACAGGTCAAAATAATATGGTCTTTGATCTCTTTAGCGGGGTCGCTAAATTCGCACGTTTGAGAAAGATGGCGTAATCGAGTATGATAAGAATCAAGAGACTCGTCGGGTTTCTGTTTCGCTTGGCGGAAGTTAATTAAAAACTTCGAAAGCCACATTAGTTTGAGGTGAGAAGTGCTGGTTGAGCTTTTCCACTACGGTTTTGTAGTCTTCGTTGCTGCTAGTCGGCAGAGTATCGTAGATATCATCGACATCAGGGCCAGCGTAGTGCAAGAGCAAAGCTGTTTTTCTTTTATCAGCTGTGATGTTAAGTCCGCAAAGTAGCCGTTCGAATCTCGTGAGCCACTTTTTCCATCTTGGGCCAGCATTAGAGTCCTCGTGTACATTAAACGGTGGAAAATCTGGGAGCGAAGCCATGGTTGAGGTGAATTATAAATACTAGAATTCTGCGATATATATTACTTGTCTTGTCTGATCGCGGTACGTTGTCTATACTCTTGACAGTGTGTTGTTTTGGGTATACTTCGGCTGGTTCGCTTCTTGTATGCTTGTGTGATCGTTGCGGGTTTCGATCGTGTTTCCTCGTCGCCAGATGTAATGTTGTAGTTAAACACTTTTATTGATAACCTCTCGTATATATGCACATGCAAAACTAACTAATAAAACTCTATCTATTGGCGCCAAAAAGTCTTAGTCTCAGACCCCGCACGCGGTCCACCTGCGCGCCAAGGCAACATAACAACAATGAGCTTATTAACTATATTATAGTTGTTATTATGTTATTGATCATCGAGGAAAACTTTATTATTTCATTAAACCATTTTACTGCAATTATCTCCCCATGACAGGGAGGATCATTTTAAATATTTTGAAAGAACTTGGGTAATTCACACCTGCATGCATGTTAAATTACGGCCCATTCACACAAGCGATTTTACATACAGTATGTGATTTAGCAAAATTACAGGAAATATTACTTTGCATGGCTTAGCTCACATGCATATTTGTTGTGATATTCACTCAAACACATGCAACAAAAGAAGAAAGTTGCAGTTCAAAATTGCTTGTGTGAACTAGCCTTTATAGTCCCATTGCTTTAAACTTATTTTAAGCTTTCTTTGTCTACTAAACACAGCAAATTCTGCTAACAAATGAAAGCCTTTATCATGTTAATTGGTTAAATCTTTATGGACAGTAATATTTCATTTTAAAAAGACAAGTTATCAAATACATTGGATGTTCCAGCACAACATTTGGTACAGACGTTGATATTTTTATTCTTTAAAGTTTAAAATTACTCCTTGCTCCTTCAGTCTGACCCACTAGTTGGGTCCATGCAGGAGTTTGTATAATCAGAATTTTCCTTTTCCAAAGTTGACTTTCTTTCAGGGATTATGAGCTCCATCTACCCAGCAGTTTTAAGTGCCAGACACTTGTCTACAGCGATCATTTGAATCTTAAGACTTTAAAACTAATGGGTTTCAACAAGTTCTTTGACTGAAGGAGGAGGGACAGGGGCTATGTTGGGCACTTTGCCTTCGGTCATCACTTCCAATACCAATCCCCATGCCTAAAGAAGACTTACAATTAGTTTTATTCCTGTTTAAATGCACATTAGTGCCTGCTGAGCAATGTGTTTTAAAAGCACTTAATCAAGCCAAATTTTGATTTTATTACTGTGCACATGTTCATTCAAATCAAAATTTGGCTTCCAAAAAAGCTTTTAAGTGCTCTAATTAATGCTCTAAACATATCAATCAGCAAGTGCTACTGTGCCCTTAACATGCCTACAGAATGATCAAAAGATTTGTTTGAAAATGTGGTAAGAAAATGGATTTCACAATAAAACCCAAAAGTCATATTTTTTCTCACCACGATTCAGGAAAGCATAAAATTTTATACATACCTTCATTGTAAGTTGTATAATGTATTCGTACTGCTTACGAGTAAGAATCTTTACATGATTCCATCACTGTTTCCCTTGCTGAACATATACTGAAAATATACTTGCTGAACATATACTTGCTGAACATTGTCTGGGCCTGTCTGGCATAGCTGGCAATGGCTCATGGCTGCATTGTTTCATATATGTCTGCTGATCCGTCTGGGTTTCCACAGCGCTATAAGTGCACAATAAAGTTTTGTAATGACGAAATATAACAATACTAACATAATTGAAATATCCAAGGATATCTGTTATGTACTTACCACAATAAACAATTAAATCGGTCTTGATGTTTCGTATACAAGCTCGATCAGCAGAGTATTCCACCGACCAATACTACAATTTCGATGCATACCTTTTCGCGAAATATTCTTTTCGATCTCCTGGTTGGTTCTGGCGACCAGCAATGCATTAGGATTTGCCTTTGAAACTCTCAAGTAGATGGTCGCGAGTCACCATTGTCAACGTCTTCGCTGTAGCGTGTTGAAATTGATATTTGATATGCATTTCCATTTGTAACAAGAGCTTACTAATATCCAATGACGGGGGGAATTCATATTATTTTGTATAATTTAATTTTGCCAATCCGACACCACAAAATACTTTCACGTTTAGTTTCACCGAGCAAGATACACAAGCGGCTTCATACACATTAGTTTCTATTTGATTTTGAAACAATTGCACAACGGAATAACTAATATTCGTAAAAACACACTTTAGATACATCTTTTTAGATATAAAGTTTCTTTTTTGACTGTATTTCTTGCTTTGATGTGAATATATAAGCGAGTTAAAAACAATTAGAAATTTGGCACTCCTGTGCGTCAGCCATCTTCTCTGAAATGCTAACAGTTTATAGCATTACGTAATATTTTTCTATGACAATGTTTACAAAATGTGTACACATTTGAGACATGCGCAGAATGGACTGTAACCCAGCTTTAAATAACTACTATATTATATTGGTTGAAGTTAAATGAAGTAATATAACTTGCACGTGGACCTCACGCCAAATTACTGCGGGCGCGCACGCTTACGCTAGATTGTTTACAAGCTATAGGCCTATATAATGAAAGGGACGAAACTTCCAAATTTAGAATTCGGACATCATTTTCGAAACGTCATAATTCGCTTAAAATTCTACAGAAACACACCATATTATGCACACGACATAGAAAGGATATAGTCTCAATATTTAACGAAAGAAATCTGGGAAAATAGTAGTTAAACCTACGAAAATAACGAATAAAATGCTGGTATATATTTCGCTATTTTCGTATGATGTGCACCGCAACAACGAGTGACGGAAGTGACGAAAGAGTTGAATTGCGCATAACAGGAAGTGGTTTTATTTAAAGTAGCGAAGGTATGAAATGTTATTATATATGAGAAACATACTATATTAAGGTATATCAAATTAATAGTATATATTTAGCTAGTATATATTTAGAAATACGTTTTTATACTGGTTTAAATTAATATTATAGTGTTCAGTTATTTTCAAACATCTTACCAATTTGAAACAATAACATGTTTTTCTCTGCTGTACAACTTCGGTTTTTTATTAAATTTATTGTTTATTTCTATATGGGACGCGTGTCGTTTAAGAATAGATCTGTCCATCCTACAATATAAATATTTAAATTTCCCTCCACACCTGTCGTTTTTTAAAAAACAGAATATAATTAGCAACGGAATTTAAGTGGAATCACTTCCTGTACGTCACTTCCGTCACTAGTTGTTGCGGTGCACATGCAACGATGCCAGAGGAGGTTGGGTGACTATACCGGCATGCATTGCGGTCAGGCACATTTTGTTACATATTATCGATTTCTCGGCAGTGCACGTCATTGTTTGGTAGCTTTCGCGGAAGTCAGAACTGGAGAAGTATTTCAATATTGCAACTAAAATGGCAAGTTTTCGCTGCATTCGAGGGAAGAATGTTTCAGTATTGAATGGACAAGAGCTTCTGTTTGTTCATTGTGCGAATGCGTGTCTAAAGAAACTTTACTCTATACCGTGTGTCGAACTTGAATGTCGTGAGAATGTGCCAATAGTGCTATGTCCATCGGTTGTTTACTTGTTTATAATGGAAATATTTGAAAGAAAGTCTACGAAATGTTCGCTGAATGCAGTCCTGCATTGATAGAAATACAATTCGAGCTGCATTTTTACGGTAAGATGATTTAGATGCACGTTGTATACTTTAATTCATTGTGTTGTCTAATTTATAAAAGTTTGTGCATCAAATACTTGAATGAGTTGAATCCTTTGAAAATGTTGACATGATTATAAATATACGTACATCTCATGTTTTCAAAAGAGGAAAGTTTTATTTTATAGCTGGGGGAGAATATTTGATTGAGGACTTGAAAATAATTCATGTCAGTTAACTCCATTAAGATGCGATGTACCTGATACTGTATAAATGCAACCTACTTTATTATTTATTCTGCCTAACACCAGGCAATGTTATTTGTTGAAAATATTCAGTGATAAAGATGATTGCCACAGCTTTGTAGAAAGCATGTTTTAGTTGTTTTAGCAGCCCAATTGAGATACGTAGTAGGTCTTGTACACCTATAAACACAGTGCATAACAAAGTCTGTGCTCTCTTTGTTTATCTTTCAGTTGTTTTCAAACTTTTCATCAATGGAAGTGGTTACACATGAGGATATTCTTGCCATAACATGGACAGGATGAAGAACATCTGGATGTGATGTGGTGAATGATGGCGATATAGCTCTGGAGACGAAAGCTGTTACTGGTACTTCAATATAGCTGTGAACCTTGGTTGCATTGTATACAATACCCTTCATCTCAATATCTTCAATGGAAGACTTACTATCTTGGCATAAAAAGAATCACACTGTACTGTCACCATACGAAATGTGTGATGATTTATGGCAAACACTACTAATAGTGTTCGCCATAAATAGAAATGCAAAATTGGTTTTGGCAGAGTCTTGTAATACTGACTTTTCTAGCACTCAAAATAACGGGTCAAGGGTCAATCATCTGGCACACAAAATAATATACAGTAGTTACATAAATTGTGTATTTGACCCCAAAACTCTGGTTTGAACATCATCCTGACCCAAAACATGTGGTCCTGATAATATTCCAGGTCGCCTTTTGAAGGAATTTGCGCACCTTTTCGCTGAACCAGTTGCGAAAATCTTCAATATGTCACTTGCGTCCGGGATTGTTCCAAATATATGGAAAGACTCACATATTACTCCCATTCCAAAAGTTAAACAACCAACTGACGAGGGTGACACAAGACCCATTTCACTAACGCCATGCCTTTCTAAAGTTCTCGAAGATTTTGTCGTTAGATGGATGATCTCTGACGTTAGGAATAATATTGACGCACAACAGTTCGGTTCTTTAAAGGGTTCATCTACGACCTATTGCTTGCTCGACATGTTGCATTGTTGGCTTTCTCATTTGGATTCAACTGGTCATTTTCTTCGCATATGCTTTTTGGATTTTTCAAAGGCCTTTGACCGTATTGGCCATAACATTCTTATCCAAAAACTTGTTGATATTGGCGTTAGGCGATCATTAATACCATGGATCGTAAACTTTCTATCAGGGCGAAGACAGCGGGTCAACTTGCGGAAGCTGTTTCTTGTTGGCTTCCTGTCACAGCCGGTGTCCCCCAAGGTACGAAGTTAGGTCCAATCCTGTTCTTAATTATGGTCAATGATTTACAATGCGGTTCGGGGAAGTCTAGCAATTGGAAATTCGTTGATGATGTTACTATCTCTGAGGGATTATTAAGGAATGGGGAACCGTCTGTAATCCAGTCTGATTTAACTTCTATAGCTACATGGGCATCTAATAACCTGATGAAATTGAACGCAAAGAAATGCAAAGAGATGCAAATTTGTTTCTTTCGGAACAAATCTGAACTACCACACTTGTGTTTTGAAGACCAGATCTTAGAATGTGTATCGTCGCACAAGGTTCTTGGATTGATTATCCAGGATGACCTTAAGTGGAACGAACATATTTCGATGATTGTTACCAAAGCATCCAAGCGACTGCATATCCTACGTGTCCTACGACGGGGAGGGATTCCACCGCACGACCTTATCACAATTTATTATGCATTGATTAGATCTACATTAGAATATTGTTGTATAGTATGGCATTGTGGTCTACCTATGTATCTGTCTGAAAAAGTCGAGAAAATTCAAAAACGTGCACTGAGGATTATACTGCCAGGTCGATCCTACGGTGAAGCGCAAGAAATGTTGCAGTGTCTTAGGCTGGATATACGTCGAGGTGAACTTTGCGAAAAGACGATGAAAAATATTGCATTGGGCAGTCGTCTTTCTTCCCATCTAACTTTCACCAGTGAAAACGAACATGTGTATAATTTAAGGAATTTTAAACAATTCGCTTCTTTTAAATGTAAAACTGATAGATTTAGTAATAGTTTTTTTCCCTAGCATGATCAGTGTTTTAAACAAATAATTGTTCTTAGTTATAAGTTCCTATTTAATAATCTAATGATACATTGTAATATAGTTACTTTTAGTATTGTAATTCCCATTCAAATCAATTGTAAAACACATTGTAATTCATTTTCATGCGATGATGTGTTATTAAAATACCATTATTATTATTATTATTATTAAATTCCCTGATTTGTTTCAAGTGCTGTTTTTTGTTTGTGCTGTATACTGATTGTGGTTATACCCAGGTTTTCTTTGCCCTGCAGGTTATTTCTTGGCATTTCCTATTATATGCAGCTGTAGCATAAGTGTGGTATTCTGTGATGCCATCTTACCAATTCTGCAGTTTTATATGGCTAATAATAAACAATTAGCTGATTAAATCGTGGTATGGTTTTATTTATTTCACTCTTATAAAAGTTACTTAAGTAAACAGATCACACAGAATTGATGTTCAATAAAATTTATTTCTGTCAAAGTACAAAAAATGTTAACATTACTCTAATAATGCTACATGAAAAGTTAATGATAAAAATACACTGTATACGAATAATGATGTACATTAAACATTGTAGAGGAATTATATTTCTTTGTAAACCTATAAAATTGTAATCATTTGTGTTTGAACCTCACTGCAAAATAACCACACCAAAATGGCCACACTCTGTTGCTGATTCCATGACAGGCTTAGATTTATGATTAGATTTACTTAGATTCAAGTTCTGCTAAACTGTCAGATTGGGTCAAACGATAATGGATGTCAGCATCTTGCAAACTTTTTTCTGCACAGTTGTTCTGAACAGTTGTTCATGTTCGCAGACGGCAATCTATATAAAGTATGAAAAACAGATAAAGTGGTATAATTTATGATAAGGACACATTTTCACTCTGTGTCATCATACTGCTGCTCTATGACCTATTTCTTTTGAATTTTGCAGGTAGTTACCCTTATTATAAAGAACTCAATTGACGAATTTTCAGAAATTTTGATCTAAGAGGGCTAAAAACAGTCTTTTCGAGTGCAAACGGGGGGTATGTCGGAAATTTGAAAGTTTTGTCGGAAATTTAGGAGGCTTTGCCCCCCCCCCACCGGAAAAAGTGAATTTCCGCCACTGTGAGGAAGTACTGAATATTTGGATATGCATGGCACCATCATCCCAGAAACAGTTCTTCACATTATAGACATTATATAACCCATTGAGCCACAATGTGCCCTACTTATTTTTTTACTTGTCTAACGCCAGACGATTTTACTCATCAGTGGGAAGCTTTGCAGCTTAATGGGTTAACCAAAAAATCTGACAATGTCTCTAGTTAACCCATTGAGCCATAATGCACCCTACTTTTTTTCTTACTTGTCTAACGCCAGACGATATTACTCGTCAATGGGGAAGCTCTGCAGCTTAATGGGTTAAACGATGGCCACTTTCCAACATGTGTTCCATACTGATACATTGGATCTGTTTTGATAATTGATATGAATTCAGTAAGTGCCCTATCTTTCTCAAAGGTCCATTTATGATATTTTACTGGGGACTTCTTTATAGGAGTCTGATAAATCTTTCTGCTAGGAAAGTACAAAATAAACAGTGTAAACTTCAATATTTAAATCGGAAATTGCTCTTCAGTTGAACAACAATCTTCAGTCGTACTGTATTTTTATTATATTTTACAGTAATATTGTAATCCAGGATTATGAAACACGGTCAGTAGACTCAGTACAGTTAAATGTGGAAACATGTATGCGTTTGTTCAAAAGAATTTGAAGAAAATAGTGATTCGTACTGTAGTTTTTACTTCGCGCCAAATGATAACCGCGCGGTCAATTCCCGCCCTCGGCGAAAGAATATAGCAAAAGTACCCCATTTTCAAACCGCGATTACTAGTCGATTTCGTCGAGCTACTTTGAGTTTTAAAGTACGAATGGAAAAAATAAACTTTCATTAATTCGCTGACGTGTTTTATTTTAATTTCCCATCAAAAAAATGAAAGTAGCTTCTGCATTTTTTGAAAGCCACTTTTGTGGCGTGTCCACTGACCCGAATCAAGCATAAATATAATACGTAATTAACTTAACTAAAAAGCAATTTCTGTACCGAACAAGTCGAAAATAATTTAATTAGGTTCTTAAATAATACAAATATAAAAACATACCTTCGAAAAAATGATGTCTTCAAAGATAAAAATCGCAATATATTTCAACAACTTTTCACTAAACGTTTGTCGAAAATCGCAATTGTGAATAATAATGAGACGCAATGCATGCCGGTATAGTCACCCAACCTCCTCTGCAACGATGCAGAGCAGGTTCGACAAGCAGGGCGCAAAGCATCATGGGCTCGAGTGCCTAATTCCAGGCGTGGCTTCAATGACTCTTTGACTGTCGTGGAGTGAATATCTCTCTGAGTAAACAAATATGGAAGCATTCGAAATACAAGATTGTCAGGCTGCAAAACTTCGTGAAAATAGCATGTTATTGCTGTATTGTTGCGATCCTAATTATGACTTGTGTTTTACTATACCAAGTTTACCTTATATTAAATTGCATGGGACGTGCTGTCATTTTAGCTTTATAAATAATCCGTCTGTCAAAACGAAGGAATTGTGTTTATATTCCCAATAGCGAGGCCCTTCTTTCTAAGTTGGATGGCGTTAAATATCTGTGTATCATCAACGTGAAAACAAGCGCAGTATTTAAGGTTAGTATATTACAATGCATTTAATACAATTGACTTGTTATTTGGTCAAATTTCCGCTTTGCTGTTTTCAATATAATTGTACTGTAATTTTATAAATACACTGTACAAATTATGGCGTAATATTTCTAATAATTTAACCCTTTAGTTTGCCCCTTCTCCTGATGAGTTTGCTAACGAAAACACCCAGCATATGCTTTTGGATTTCGATGTGGATCATATATTGACAGCGAATAGAATTGATGATGAACATTCAGATGATGAACATTGGTTCTCAGATGAGTCTGAAGGTATATTGTTATTCAGTTATTTGTATGGTTTTATAAATTTTTGCTGAGTGTAATGCCTGTTTGTATCTAG